AGAGGGGAGTAGAGTTTGGTGGAAATATTGACCCAATGAAATATGTGCAAGTTTTATATTGGGCATAAATCTTGTTAGTCATGTAATGTTGCTGTCAGTTTTATTGGAGATGGGAAAAGGGATAAAAGTTAATTAGTGCTGTTAATCTATTAAACTTATAAGAAATGGCCAAATCAGTATGGTTAATCAGTTTGGTATGCTAATGCCATTATGTAATGCCATTATGAGATCTCAATAACTCTCAATATGATAACAATAGAAGTATAAATAAAATACTTGAAGGCATATTACTGACATTACTGAAAAGTACCAAAGATGTGAAACAAGATAATTACTGTTCAGGCTAATTCAGTGACATTTTATAGCTAAGGACATTTCAAATGGTAAGATTTTCATGTCAAGTTTTCTCTTTGTTCCTTTTTTCACCCATATAGTTCTCTCTCTTCCTCTCTCCACCCTTCCAGTACGGGTCAAGCAGGAACATAGAGATGATCTGGACTCCCCTGCTGTGCCGCCCATGTCCATGCCTCTGGTCCATGCTGCCAGTTTGGTCTGTACTCAGCCGCTGTCCTCCCCAGAGCACTCCCACCCACCAGACCGCCTTCTGTCCAGCTCGCCACGTGGCCTGGCTGCAGGCCTGCACCCTCTCCAAGCCCCCTGCGCCCCAATGGGCTCCCCAACTCTTCCCCACCTGCCCCACCTTCAGGCTCAAGGGCTGAATGCACCTCCTGAATGCCAGATGCCCTTCCACCCAGGCCCTGCTGCCACTGCCAGGCTGTCTTACCCACCCATACAACACAACATGCCCTTCAACGGCCAATGCAGTCTTCCTATGACTGCAGGCTCCCCACAGGCATACAAGCGAATGCCCTTCCAGGCCGACCCGGCTGGGTGTCACACCCTGAGTTTGGGGATGGTGTATGGCCCGGCTTCTTCAACACCCACCTCTGGAGTGCCTCCGGGGCCTGGCTCCAGCCCCAACCATGCAGCCTGTACGGGTAGCAACCAGGTCATGGCCCACTCTTCCCCTCACCTTCACTCTCTCGGCTATCACTGCCCCACTCCAGGGCAGGTCCCATCACCCACCCACACGCTGGGACAGCCGGCCCCACAGTTCCAGCATCCACTGGTTTACCATCCAGCTGGGCAGCGGTCCGCCTCCTGCCCCACACCCTCCAGTGCTCCTGCTCATATGGTGCCATCTCCCCACTCTGGGCCCTCGTCCCCCCAGCTCCATTCCCTCCCCTACCACTCACCCACCTCCCCATCTCCTACGTCCAATAGCCCCCTGGGGTCCATGGCACTCTCTGGACAGCCTTCTCCCCAGGCTAACAGCCCTGTCTTGGCTGGGTTGTCCCCTTCAGGTCCCTTGGTGCACCCTCTGACTCAACAGGGAGAGAGGCTGAACATCAAACAGGAGCCAGAGGATAGAGAGCCCACCTTCCGTACCATCGGCCTGCAAGATATTACGCTTGATGATGGTGAGTCTTTGCACTTTGTTAAACAATGTCTTTTTGTCTTATGACACTTGACAGTGACCACTGCAACTCTCAGTGCAGTGCAGTGTATAGAAATTATGAGAAAATGAAATCTTGAGGAATTGTCCCTCAACAGGACAAAGCAATATTGATACAGTTCACCTTAACATTAAAGGTATTTAAAGCTTCTGGAAATTGTTACTAAAACTTTGTTTTAATATAATATACTAAAATGTTGTGTTTGCTATGACATATTCCAGGTTGCATTTGATTTAGCTATGATGACCGAACCTCCATTGCATGAGTCCTTTGTTTTTCCCCCAGGTTATGTAGTACTCATTAAAATAATTACCTCTTTATTCACTTTATTCATATATGAGCCTTTATGGATATTAGAGTAATTTAGAGTAATCAGTCTACTGATGTGTGAATAATGCATTAAGGGTGAATAAATATGTTTGTGAATTTGTGCAGTAGTAGCAAGGACATTAGAATGTATTAAATAAACAAGGAAATGCTTCATTTACTAATATGAATTTGCACAAGTTGCCTGGGGCATTACAGTGTTTGGCAGGTCCCAGATCTTAAGAGTGTCATGACACAGGGCGAATTCCTTACACCGGTAATCCTTCTTAGTAGAACTATGAGACCTAATGTCAGTAGTGTGGGGGAGGGAAACTGAGAGGCTGTGTTTGGAGTTGCATACTACCTTACTACGCTCACTGTTTTTGCATTATGTAGTATGCATAATTAGCATTGAATACTCAAAATAACTACTGCATTTGACAGTTGACTGCAAGAATACACTACAGTATATACAATAGAGCTTGCTTCCATAATGCAGTGAGCTCAGTATGACCTTCTATGAAGCAGATATAACATAAACTGCCATTTTAATATACACTACAGTGTCTGTAAAATGTTGAATGTATTTTAAAAGAAGCCAATTCTGCTCACCAAGTCTACATATATTTTATTGAAAATACAGCAAAAACAGTAATGTTGTGCAGTTGTTGTTATTGTTGTTTTTTGTGGAAACTGATAAAATTTTGCAACATTATAAAATGTCTTTAGTATCAATTTTGATCAAATTAATTTTATCAAATATTAATTTCTTTAAAAAAAAAACTATTTTTGAATGGTAGTGTATGTATCCATTTTTAGTTTTGTGAAGTTGTCAAAGAATTACATGTACGTAATGAGGTCATGTAGAAGCATGAACCATACAGTAGTGTACTACTAGTTAACGTTATTTTTGTCTTTAAAAATATACAATATTCAGTGTGCACTGTGCAGCATACAGTAAGCAGTACACTAGTATTCCATTCCAAACATAGCCAGAGCAGGAGAGCTTGTTTATCAACTTCTGTGTTTATGTGGATATTTTTTGCTGATGGTGTGTTTATGTGAGAAGCTCAGACAACAGACCACAATGGATTCCTTATTCACAACTCCGCAATTTATTATTGAAAATTCAAGTGCTTTGTGAGCTGTATCACTCTGAACCTGGTGCATCTATCATATTTTTTTTTATTTTTTTTTTCGTGGATGACCGATGAGAGAGTTCAAGCTAATGCTGTAGTTCATCAGCACAGATACCAGCAATGTCGCCAGAATTTGCTTTCTGGAATTCTTCAATTACATATTCAAATGTGCAGTCTGACAGAGTTAATGAACAGCTTGTATCACTCAAATTAGACATGTGTTTGTGTGTGTGTGTGTGTGGTGAAGTGAAGTGAAGTGAAGTGAAGTGAAGTGAAGTGAAGTGAAGGATCCAGCATTTGTCCGAGTAATTAAAACTGCCCTCACTATATGTAGCCATGTGTAAAGCACACACACACAAAATTCACATTCTTGGCCAACTGCATACTATTTCACAGATGTGCACAGGCTAATTCACTGTTTCAAATCACACACTCACACAAGACACATGGTTACATGCATACACGCTCAATATTTCAGAGTAGGCATGCTCAGCCACACAAAGTATTCATTGCCTACATGTTGCTCACATATAGCATTAGACATCCTCATGCATTCAGTGTGTGAGATGGGATGGAGTTGAGCCTTTTTAAAAGTGAAGTTTTGAACTGATTTCACCAGGGACTGTATCCTCCCTAAAGCACACACTATAAATAGGGTCTGTGTCATTCTCTGACTGAAGCTCTTGAGCACTGTGAGTTGTTAAGGAGGTCAGAAATGAACTGCAAATAGAACAGAACACAGCTCCAGTCACTGACATAAACCTTCTTTCACGTCAACATAAAGCTGTCACTATGATTTAAATGTATGGCATGTTTTGCTAAAGCATTACCATAATGAATAAATTGAAAAATTATAAACACAATTTGGAAAAATACACTGTTATGCATCTATACATAATTATTTACTATATTCCATTTAATATTAATATTATGTATTAATGTTATCGTTTATTTCATTTGAATATAAACTCTACAGCTATCACTACTATATGTTACTAAAGCATTACGATTTATTAATTTAAATATTATTATTATTATTGAATTGATAGGAACCATGTAAAAACAATTTAGAAAAGTCCAAATAAAATTGAAAAAAAAATCAAATGTCACTTTTAATTTATCAATAATCAGGGATGCAAACTTGTCACCTTTCGGCGAAATTCACCGTTTTTAATTCAAAATGGGTCATTTGTGTGATTTCGAATTACAAAACCACAAGTTTCTATTTACAACGTGTTTTGTAGCCAATCACAGGCATCTCTGTTGAAAGCAATGGCCAATCAGAGGGGTTTACTGTAGGTTAGTCAGAATCCGCTCTGATCTCAAGTTTACGTAGTTCTACACACTCACAGATCTTCCTATTATAGTAAGACAAAAAGAAAGCATACACGATGCAAATAAGATATTCATTGTGTAGTTAGTTATTGATTATATCAGGAGTTTTCGCGTAAGCTTAGACAGTTGCGCCATAATGGAAGCGCCCTTTGCTCGGTGTCTCTACATACTTCATTCAGTTTAAAGAAAAGTTTAAGAGGACCAAACCTTCCACGTATACTGTTTCAGGAATGACAAACGCGAGTGTAAAAACCTACGCGAGTGAATCCGCCAAATTGATCCGCGATTGACTGTGATATGGAGATATGGACGGAACAAACTATCTGACAAGCTAGTGTCAAACCAGAGCTGTGCTTTAAGTGATGCAGAGTAAATTCAGAGTAACAAAACTACAGCAGCAACAAGTCTGTGTTGCCTTTAGCAGCTCTACAGGTAACTTAAAGCTCTCCTTTTGATATGTCCTTTTTTAGGCAATGTTTGAAAAATGTTGTTTTTAAATTAAATCTAAAAAAAATGACAAGATATTTAATGCATTATTTAATTATTATTATACCATGAATAATTAACTTAATTTGTAGTTAACTAGTTAAGTATTTAAATAATTAACCCTACTAGCCTGTTGGTGTCTGGGCTTATTTATTTATCCTTAAATGACATTACGACAAATGACATTCTTGTAGCTTTCTGCACTTGCTATACTTCATAGTCATTTTATAATAAATCCAAAAGCAAGACGTGAAAAAACCTAGGGAGTTGAAATGGCAACCAAGGTAATGAGTTATCCTCTGCTGCCATCTACTGGATATAATGTTAATTTCATGTCGTTTTCATCTCAAGTCTTTGTTTTCCACAAGGAGACCATTTTTTCCTGTCTTCTTCATGAATGAAAGTGAACATTTAAAGTGATTTTGGCAGAGTTAAAAAAAAAAATAGTAAAAGCCGTTAAAAAAATGTAGGGTTTTATTTATTTTTTTGGTGCTCGTCTTTGTCACCTTTTTCACCCATGATGAATTTGCATCCCTGAATAATAATTCATAAATATATAAAAAATTAAATTTATTAATTCATTTATGCATGCATCGTGATTGTTTACTGTATTCCATATAGTAAAATAAATATGTATCATATTATTATTATGCTTATTGTTTATTGCTTTTAAATATAAACTTGCTCATTTTTTCTTGCTCTCTTTTCTCTCATGTCTGTTCATAAGAGCCATGAATCACTCGTCATGGTTAACTGTAAGAGCTCTGCAGCTGGCTGATAGTTTCGCTAGATTTAAATATAAGTTGATGTATCACTCAGACTTTGCAGTTCTTAATCACACTTTCCTGGCACTTTTATGGCCCCAGATACTACAGTTCCATTTGATGAATCACTTTTCAGCAGAATTCAGTGGTTGTCAGTGGCAGTGCATTCTGGTAGTTGTGTGATTTTCTGTGTGAATGCAGATGATTGTTTAGCGTAAAACCCAGTGTTTGTTTACAAATCTCACTGGTTTTCATATCCAAAGCCGTTTTGTTTCGTGTTAAACTGGTTTTAATAGTGCTGACTAGCAGTTTGCAGTAGGCTGGAATCCCACTTGATATTCTGGTCCAATTGTTTTCATTCCAGGTCTGTGTGGATCTGGTGCTGCCACTGGGTGGATTAAAGTTTATTTATGTAGAAAGCTGGGACTGTTTTGAGATTTCATGGACAAATAAGAATCGTCCGGATGGCGGTGTGTGTGTGTTTGTGTGTGTGAACAGATGGCACAGGTGATGTCAAAGACTCTTTGCAGGTGGTGCTGGGGAGGGGCTACAGACAGACTGACAGATGGAAGACAAAAAACAGGGAATTGACACAAACACACACACTATCAAACTGAAAGTTCAAAGAAGGACTAGACCATAGGAAATGTAAACCAAAGGTTAAAAGACCATTGTAATTTGAGTAATCTACTTGTACCATTGCATTTATCTCTCAACATGATATCCGTGATTAAATGTAGACTGCTTATGTGCTGAGTGAGCTGTATGCATGTGTGTTGTGTGTGTTAGATGAGCATAAGGAGCTTGGGTGCCATGTTTTCCTGATGAGTTTGGACTGGTTCCCTCATGCTGAACAGAAGGAGCAGTGTGTGTCAGTACTTACAGGAGACTTAGTCTCTTTTCTCGTCTCATCTCTTCTTTCCACTCTTTTTCA